TAACCAGGTGATTTTGAATGCGGATCAATTCTACATCACAACCATTATCCATTTTTTTATATGTAAAAATGTATATTATAATAAATATTATATTATATACTTTTAAATAATACCTAAATGGAATATGTTTTTTTGAATTCATAGAAAATATATTGTACAAACATTTTATTCACACATTAAATCACTGGTTTCATTTAAAATAACTGTATAAGTAAATTTTTAGTTATTAGTTAATATTAGTATAATCTGATAAAGAATACATTTTTTTTTTCAAAAATGTGTTAAAGCATAGAAATATATAATTTTAATTTATAATTTCTTTCTATTATCCATTAATTTATTTTTTAATTTTTCACTCATGTTTAATAACTTATCCATATTTAATAAGGTTCTACTCAAGCCGAAATTGTATTTAATTATTTTTTGATTGCGATTTGATACATTAGTTGTAACCAAATGACTGGTTACTTTACTATGATCTTAATTGCTATCTAAACACATTTATTGAGTTCTCATATAAATTAAAACGCTTAAATGATTTTATAACGGAGATTAATGATTAAGTACCTTTTTAATAATTGGTACGCCATTTTACAAAATTAATGGTATAGAGCCCAAAGTAATTCATTGGTAACTAGTAACTACATAAATGTTTTGAAAATGGTCCATCATGAGGTTAAATTTTTAATACAACATGATAAATAGTTGGATCAATAGATATAAAATAATAGTAAATAAACAATTGAGTTTAAGCTTAAATATATAATACCAAGTATACTAATACTGAATAAATAAAGTAATATATGTCCTGACTCCTGCCTAGTAAACAAAATTCTGATTACTGTAACAATTTATACATTGGCAAAGGTTTTAATTATTCGAGTATGATTGGTAATTGCTTTAGTTCTCATTTTACGTTTAATTTTTAAATGTTGATTTTTGAAAGCAATCACCTTTTTTTCAATTTTATACTCAGCTAACGAGATGTTTTGATTGGGATTCAATTAAACTCACTTAGAATAACTGTTAAGTACGGGGATTTTCTTCGAAACCATTTTCTTTGATCCAACACCTTTGAACTAACGGTTCAAATGAAATTGCCATATATAAATATAAATATTACAGTTAAAACTGGTGTATACTGAGACCCTTTGAAGTATTTCAAATAATCCAGATTAAGCGGAATTGATACAGAGTCCTATGTCGTCGCAGCAAATTTAATAATTTATATATTACTGAACTTAACGTAAACTTAGTTGAAAACTATTTAATTTGTATACCTGCTAACATACTATCTTCCCTTTAAAGCAATAATAATTATAAAACCAGCTTGTGTGCTATGCATTCTTCCACAACATTCACTTTGAGGTGCATGAGCTATATAATATCATCATTAGAGCGCTATAATTAAAACGGTAAAATGTCCATCATACAGAAATACACAAAGACGCTATGTGAGCAGAAACAATACATTATTATAATATAGCCTAGTAATGATTTACCTTAAATCTAAAAGGGCCTAAATCTGATATGATATTTAGTAACTAATATAGACATCAACCCTTTTCATTATTAAAATCTCTGTTTACTTAACAAAATCTTTACTAATAAAATTGTTATTTATTTCGAAATAAAACATTGTTAAATTAAACGTCTTTTTTTTGGAAGCAAGCCATTTTGCGCTGCTTCATTCTAGTGAGCAGGATTATTAAACCAACGGGTTTATGAAATCCTTTGTTTTTTTCACACTGCCCATAGTAGATTTACAAAGTTTAATTATAAACAATAAATTGAGATTTTTTATTTGGTATAACCAAGTGTGTTTATTTCTTCGTACAAGTTATATCTACTTGATTATATGCAAATTATATTATAAAATATATTTAGTTACTACCCACTGTTTTTTTTTGTTTTGCTCTTGTCATTTTCATCGTGTACGTCAAATGGATTTTGTGGACCTTCTAATTGCGGATATGTTTGTTTCCGGTAGAGAGGTATCTCAGCACCGCGTATCTAAGCTTATTGGCCCGGATAGGGTTGCCTAAGATATTATTATTATTATACAAAAGTGTTATAATAGTAATAGCTGGCGACGAAATAATTTTGTTAGACACCGCATCGAAACTTGTAAACTTCAACGTGAATCGACAAATTGGTTAGGTCGCGTTGCATGTCAAAGTTCTTTAAAAACCCGGCGGCTGAAAATTAATACAACCGCGCGGGCTTTGCCGTTGACAGGAAAACAACGTCGGCAGGCGACACGGGTAAGGCCGCCGCCGCCGCCACCGGTATAACGACATGTCACATTTCATGATTACAACTGTGTCCGTTTAAATGCGATAATTAAAACTTTAAACTAATGCCGGGCCACGGGACAGGGGTGCAAAAGTACAATATGCTCGTGGTTATTGCAGCCACTGCTAAAGTATATAGTAGACTCTACCAGCGGAGTCGCCCGAATGTTACTGACGTCTTGTCGCGCATTTTCAAACTTGGTTGCCGCCACACATTATGATAATTGTCCGTTTCTCGCCGCTACATCGTCTGTGTACCTACCTCTACCCGACTCGGTGAAATGTGTAACATATTAAGTGTACGCGTGCAATATAATCATTGTAACGCTGTACAAATTATAATGTAAATAATTATTATTATTCAAGCGTATATTATGTTGTCCGTGATGTCCTTCGAAGTTTCTATACACTTCATCAACGTTCAAGCGAATATACTATAATAATATACTATAGCAATAATAAAAATAAAAACGACTTTGTCATTTTAAAATAAACGGTTCGATGCGATAGTGCCGTAGTAAAAAATATCATATAAAATAATTATAAATATAATTCGTTTTATACACCAACAATAACATTATAGTAGTGTGTATTAATTCGATTTTTTTTCCATTAAAAAATGTGTGACTTGTACCTATTTCATACATTTTTTAAGTCGAGAATAATCAACTGAACAAAACGACTCGTCAAATAGAAAATGTTGAATATTGCAAAAAAAAAACAAATTATAATATTAAAAAAACCTACTAAGCTATTTTCAAAAAGTACAATTTTTTAGATTAACTGATCACCTCGTATACACAAAAAAATTTAAAGGTTAAACCTATACCTATGAATATTAAATAGAAAAATAAGAATAAATACCATTTAATAAGTACCTACATTTTAATGAAAACATTTATTATAATTCTAAATTTTTACTTTTCTGACAGTATATTTTGTCGTTGGCCGTTTTAATATTGTTACCACACAAAAAGTGTTTTTTTTTACAAGCAAACTATTATTATATTTTAACAAAAAAGAAACTGAAATCGTAACGTTACAGAAAATTGTCAACTGTTATTTCATTTTGCGTGCCTTAAAAATATATTCCAAGAAATTTAACTTCGGTCGATATATTTTTACACGCAACGACTTACAAAAAAGAGTTCTAACTATGTCCATTAATCTGACTTGTAATAAAAGTATAGTAGGTATGTACAAAACAGTAAGATTTCATTTTAGAATATACCATTTAAATTGAATCGTTTGTGTAGGTCATTCGCATAACATATTCGTCTAATAATCGAAAAACGCGTTTAAGTAGTATAAAAATTGATTTTGTTTGAATTTTGACTATGCCATTCAAGTCAACTATAAAATCACGATGTAAACACTTGTAACGCATGAGCACCGAGTAAGATTTATGTTAAAAAAACGAATAAGGTCGATTGCCGTCTTGAGCCGTTGTTACCGGTGCTTCGGCTAGGTTAGAACTTTGAATAGTCAACGTCATGCTTGCCGTAGATAACGACAATTGGTTGGTGGTGGACGATTTACTTCTAGCCATGCTGTCGGAACGGTTTTTATTGTGGAGTGACGTTTCCATTTCCACGTCCAGTCTGTTGGTGAACGTTTGCATGAAACTTATGGCTCGACTGGGTTCGGGCAAGACGGGCCCTAAGAACTGTAGCCAAGCTCGGTTTTTCAACACTGCGTTCCGGTAGTCTTCCTGCGAGATACGATTGTCCTGGTCCATGTCCAGTTGTACCATCATCAGCTCGACAAACTCTTTGTCCAGGTCCTCGCTGAAATGTTTCTTGCTCGTCTGCAAACTGTGTGCTTTTATCACCGACAGCACGTCTTCTTTCTTGATGTAATTCGGCAATCTAAGCACCTCGGTGTACACCTTGAAGCAAAACGATATTTTGTCGGCTAGCGAGCCCTTCAACAGCAAAGACATGAGTCTCACGAACTCTGGCCCGCTCAGGTACTTCGGGTTGTATATCGCATATTGGTGGTGTATAACGTTGACCACGGCCGAGTCTTTAACGTCAAGAAAATGGTTCATGAATTCCGCAAAGCATAACAAGTCCATTTTTCTTTTCCGTTTGGTAGTTATCATGTAATGTATACTGAGCAACTTCATTGCTTCGCTCTCGTTGAAATGAGTGTTACGGCTTAAGTATTTCGCCACAGCCAAGTACCTGTGTTGGATGCGTATGTCTTCGGCTGCCGTTAGACATTTATTCAACTGCATGTACGGCATACTGTATACACGATATTAATTTGACAGCACACGTTAAAACGGTGCTCTTCGACTTTATTTTTTTCTAGATAATTTCATTTACAGCCGAGCCACTTAGTATTATTGAAAAAAAAATTGTTGTTTTCTGACAGCTATCATATGATATTTAATTGCCAAGTGTTTGATTCGTGTTTATTTTGTCGAAACGATAAATGCGTTAATACAAAGCGAAATAAACATTTTTGTCTTACGGCTTTTGATGGTTCTACTAAAAAATAATAATACAAAAACACAACTATACATTCTCTATCGTTCATTAACGGTTTCATTCAAAACTAACAATGTTTTAGCTGTCAATTACATTTTGCTTAAAGCAACCTCGCGAATAACTTTTTTCTTTAAACTCCATTTGTATTTGTTCACGCGGAAAATTTTAAAAATTGTTGCTTATTACTTTCGATAAAAACAACATAATTTACCTGTATAAAGGCACGCCAGAATCGTCTTTAAACCAAAAAACCATATAAACTTTATCTGCTGGATTAGGCGAAGACACATCGCAAGGAAATTGTACACTTCGGCCTTCCACAGCGTCAACTGGAACCAACGGTACTGTCACTGAAAAAAAAAACAGATAAAAAATACATTAGTTAAAATGAACCAAGAATAACGCGCTGTAATACTATTTTAAATCGGAGGGTATTAAAAATAGTTCACCGATGATAATTATAATTGTTAACAAAATTAGACATTGCAACTTTTCTTGAAAACGCCAACGTGCAACTCTTGAACACACTTTGAATTTTAACCGATACTTATGGTTGAGGAAGACATCATATTGGAGAGAACCAGTGAACCGCTCTCATTCTTTTACAAGCGTACCGTGCAAAGTTTTCCGGACAAAGTTTGCCTTAAAAAAAATAAAAAATAGTTCGTCGAAAGTTTATAATACCAAACAGGCCAAGACATAGCAGCGATTGTAGTATTTAAAATTGAAAATACAATGAGTTTTTTCCCTGAAGATCACATAAGGTGCCATCACGGGGGTTACCGTGTTGGGAAACAAGAAATGTAGGTATCAAAACCGTCGTAAAATTATTAATCTTTTTTTTCGCACTCTGTTCATAACGACAAAAGTTTAACGCTGAAAAAATGCTACGACCTTTAATGAGTAGATCACACAAGGGGCGCAAAACTTTTTTAATAACGCCGTTATGGACGTAGAAAATATCGTTCAGTATGGAAGACGCATAAACGAGCATACCCATTAATAGTTTCAATACAGAGGAATTTTCAATACAAAGGACCGATAGTGTTTTTTTTTTAGTTCAAAGTGAACACGAAATTCCCTATTGTTTTAACGATTATGCTCAATAATAGTAATAATGGGTTTTTGGGAACTGAAAGTTTTTTATGTGTGTAGTTTTAATTATTTATTCGTTCAGTTTAACTTAAACAATTGACCATTGCGCGTTTTCTAATAAAACTCCATATTGCACCAGGTAGAACGATATTATTACTCATTCTTGAAAAACATAATAAATACAATATCGAAAACAAAGTAGTGTTTTCATTATTGGTTTTATCGCCGAGTACGATGGGTCCTCTTTTAAAATTAAACTGTCTATTACTATACGTTAGTTAATACCACATAGCAAAATTGTAATATTTTATAATTATTGTTAAAGTGTGTTTAAGTATTGAACAAATATTTTTATCAGATTTTGGCAGAAAACAAAATATAAATATAAAAATATTTATTTAAAGTTCCTTATAAAACTGTTATAATAATATTTAATAGTTACTATTGAACAAATTTTGTTAACAATATATTTAAATTTCCGACAAAATATGTTTTTAAGTTATTTTTACAATGTTAAAAAATCATATTTTGAAAAGTATTTTTGCTGTGATAGATATCTTACTGCATGTGATATATATCCATATATAGTCACTTATCAAAAATCAGTTACATAATATCTATTATACATTATAACTATCATAAAAAGTGATGGACGTTAGTATACTTGCGTTTTAACTGAAGCACCGTTGTGAAAATTCAAAACTTAGTACATAAATTCATTAAAAAATTGTTATAGTAAAATATTTTGGATTTAAAAATAAGCGATAAATCATGATACATTTTTTTTTTTTAAAATAACATTTTTTTATGTAAATTGTATTTTTGTTAGTGTCTTGTCCTGAAAAATGTTCGCGAGAACTTTTGAAGTTTTCGACTCGAGTTCTCGTTAGTCAAGTGCCATTAAACAATTCCTTTGATAGTAAAGAATTATTCAGAAGCATAATTGCAGCAAAAAATTACATCTTCAATAAGGGCACGGAGAAAGAGTGTTAGGCACCAGTAACTTTTCAAAACTAATTACCTGTGTACATGATAATTTGTGGGGTAATTAAAAAAATATCTACTAGGAGATGGGTATTTTTATCATACCTGTAAAAACAAACAAAAAATGTATTGTTGACAACCTATTCGGTTTGCTACAAACCCATAAACAAATGTCATAATACATTAGCCATAAAAAAGGTTTCATGAACGCCGTTAAAAATGTTACCATTTTTATTTTAATAAAAATACACTACTTCTATCGCCTGACTTGCTGAATAAAATCGAATTATATTTTTCTAGCAATAACGTTTTCAATCACACTACACAAGAATAAAGAACAATAGTGTTTCCGACTGTTTCCGTTTAATTAATCTAGGTACCGGGGCATTTACTATCTGAAAGTTTATGTATATATAATAGTGCTTATTTATGGTATACAAAAGGCTTTTAATTCAATTATAACGTTTGTGACGTTTGTCTTTTTAATTTAATTCGATAGCGTAGTACTTACATATACATATAAAATGGATTATACTTTTACACGTTCTAAGTTCTTATTATCCTTCATAATCCCGTTATTAAGTAAAAAAAAAAAAAAAAGGAAAACCGTAGATTTCATACAAAACCTGGTACTCCTAATGAAAAATTTCAACAAAGGAAAATACATATATATATATATATATATATACTTAGACCCGATTACATGATAAAATTTGTTTTAAACGGAAAAAACTGTAAAAAACGCTTTTTTCCCCAATAATTTAGTCTTTAATAGAAAATATTATGACTCGCCACTTGAGAAAATAGTACATTTTTTTATAATCACCAAGTTGGCTAGATGAATTCCCAGAAAAAACATTTAATATGATAAAAATTGAATTCCGTATAAGAAATGATTAAAAAAAAAATCCAGTATAATATTTAATAATTTTTTCTAAGAGTTAACATAAAAGTAATTTAGTAATGAAAACATTTTTTTTTACCCGACTAGCTTTTTTTTAGCTGACAGCAGACAAAAAATAAATAATAAAACAATATGTTTTACGACGTATCGGCGAAGACGCCTACGTTTATGCGCTCAAATATTTACATACGCGCTTTTACCGCCATCGTAGCCGTTTTCCATGTCACGAGACCTTTTTTTTTTTTTAATGCTTCTTCCTTTTCTCCCTTATCTCAACACCATTGTTATGGTGGTATCCAGCGCGGCACGCTTAATGTTTTTAAATTAATGAAAACGTCAAGCAAAAGACGTAGCAACGGTTAAGACGGGATGTGAAGGGGGGAATACTTGAATCGTGTACACACAACGAAATGGCCGACTTTAGAGAGATGAGGCGTGTTTTGAAAAAAAGAATACACCGGAGTAATTGATTAAAAAAAAAAAAAACCGCGCGCAATCCAACAACACAAAAGAAACCAATATGAATACATAAATATTAGTTTTGGACTTTGGCTGTACTATACACACACATGCGCTGAGGATCGGATAGTCGGAACTATATGTATAATGCAATAGGATGAAAAACAAGAATATACAACGGCCCGGATGCTTTGGCCATGGTTGTACAACAATCGCAGTTGCAGATATCAAAAGCTTTCCGAGAAGCCATGAATAAAATTATCATACGGCCCAAGACGAAACGGCACACAGTGTTAAGGACTATGCGAAAATTCGTCTGTGGCATCGCTAAAATGGTGGCGACGGTAAAAATGCCGGGCCGCAGTATGATAATTTATGTACACTGTTTTTTTTTTGGATTGTCTTGCGTGGAAAATGTACGCTGTATTACAATATGTTTTTGCACTGCCGCGTCTTAAACAACTGACAGAGAGTGTAATCATTTTTACTCACCGTACTTTTGCGCGTTATGCTAAATAACAAGAATATTATGTTATATTAAAATGTCTTTTTTTTTTTTTTTTTACTTTCCAGATGTACCGCGGGTAAATAATATGAACTATTGTTTTGGTTGAAACGCTTAACAACGGGCTTTGTGTCGAGTCAAAACGTTTTACCGAAATAACAATATAATAATACGTTGCGCAACGTAAAATATTATAATTTATTATAAAAAATACGACTACAGTAAAATATTATAGTCGTCGGTGAAAATTGTTTGATAATAATGACACATACGGGTGAAGGGGCGAGTGGATAAAGGTGTTAACTGACGTTTTTTTTTGTAAAATAGTTTTTAGCTTGAATAGTTATAAAAATAGTTTGAATGAATATAAGCGTTAGGATATATTACACAATTTAGCAAAATATTACAACAGTTGAACAGAGGGCTTAAAAAAAGTTCCAAGCATTTGAATATATTGTGTCGATTAAAATGCCTCTAGAACAGTTAAAATTGTCAGTTAACACCTTTACCCAGTCACCCCTTCAATTATATTGCTATATAATATAATTATACTTGTATTAAAAATAGTAGTACTGTTATAATTTTGATGATGATATGATGTTATAATTTTATTTTTGGAAAAAATATTCTACTTTAAAAAAACAGTATAGTTAAGGGGGGGGGGGGGTATTAAACATTTTTTTTTATTAACTGAATGCATAATATCTCAAGAATATTGTGTCAAAATTTCAAGTCGATCGGAACAAAATTGACGACGTTATGAGTTGTCGGAATTTTATAGCTGCCGGCCCGAGCGCACTATCGTTAACTTTAAAGCGTTTTTCCCACAACTCACGTTTTCAAAGTCGGTGACCACCATAACTTCAAAACTACTACACCGATCCTTTTGAAACTTTGAACACTATTTCAGTACACAACTAACATGGTAACGCTGGAGAGATTTTTTCAAATTTGTAAATATTTTTTATTTTACAATAACAAATTAGCCGATTTTTTTCGCAAACATCGCGTTTTTCCCAAAGTGTTCCCAAAAAGTGAAAAATTGAAATTTCAAAAAATCCCCTCAGGCGTTACCTGGGGAAAGCAATTTTCTAACGAAAGAACTTGATTTTTTTTAATTTCGGATGATCCAGCATCGAGTTATGAGGGACACCGCAATTCTACTTTTTTCCGAGACGCTTCCGAATAATTTCCGCCATTGCCGTATTTTTTAATATTTCTACATGAAAATATTACACAATATTCTTCGAATGTTATACTTTAATGTACCATTAGTTTTAATAAACAGATTTTAACTGTGTCGTCAAAAAAAATTCACAAAAATTTGCCGTTTTTTGCACGAATTAACCATACCCCCCCCCCCTTAAAATAACATGTGATACTTGTACAATGAACACACATAA